CCCCGGTTACCCAGCCATGTGGGATCCAGTGCCTTAACCTCCACGTGGCTGGCTTCTGAGGCCGTGCTGTTAGCTGCAGTGCTGTTCAGCTGCTCTCTCGGCAGGTGGGGTGTGTCACCAGATAAGTCTTCCCCACGGTTTCACACAGGTCAGTAGTTAGAGGCCACGTAATCCACACGTGGGCAAGCTAAGACTGACTCCGGAAGTGGCTTGTGCAGCTCGCCGTGGGAGAGCTGGTCCGGAAGCCGGGGTCCCGGCCGAGCACCCTCTGCTCCATCATGGCCAGGCCCAGCCAGGCCTCCACATGCCCTGCATCCAATCTCTTAGCCCCGTGGTGTCTTTGCACCCCTGGGTCCCAGCCACCAGCCACATCTGCTGTCTGGCAGACCTGAGGCCAGAAAGGAGAAGCCTGCCGTGGCAGGAGGCCCAGACATCCACCTCGGCCCGCCCCTCCTTCCTGGGCTAGGCAGTCTGGCTCATCCCAGATCTGACAGGTGTGGGAGCTGGGGTCGGATGGGGTAAACAGCTCCCCCCAAGGTCAGCCTGCAGAGCCGAGCGAGCGTTCACTCCCTCACTCCGCCACTCACTGTCTCAGTGAACGACGGAGAACCGCTCCACGCCACGCACCGGTCATGCAGACGTGAAATTCATGGTCCCCGTCCACCGGGGTGACATCACTGCCTTGCAGCAATGCTTGGTGTCATGTGAGGGGGCTGCTCAGAAAGGCTTCCTCTCCCAGCCAGTTCAGCAATCAGGGGGGGCATCTTGGAGGAGGTGATACCGTGACTTGGTCATCAAGGATGGCTGGGAGTTACTCAGACAGAGACAGTAAAGGGACACTGGGGGGGACAGAATGACAAAGGAAGCCAGAGATTATTCCTGGTACAGAGACCCACAGGTGGCCCGAGATAGACAGGGCCGTGGGGCGGGAGGCAAAGGTCACGCCACCGTCATGGCTGTTTATCGAGCACTCACTATGGGTTGGCCCCGTGTCCAGCCCTATCTCAACAACCTCCCGGGTTAGGGAACCAGCAGTTAGCTTAATGGCTGTCGCTGGACTCCCACGTAGTTGACTGCGGTTCGCGTCCCGGACCCGGTGGCTTAAAACTCACGCCAGGCGCGTGTGCGTGCGTGCCCAAGATCCCGGGAGGAGAATGGAGGAGAAGGGATCGCAGCATGGCCATTCCCCCTGGGGGGTGATTTCTTGCTTTCTGTCTCTCTGTCTCTGTCTGTCTGGTGAGCGCACGTGCCCTATAGCAAAAACCTATCAATTAAAAAAACAAAAAACAACCTTCTGGGTTAGATGTGGTCAGCAGCCGCATTTACAGATGAGGAAACTGAGGCACGGGAAGCGAGATGACTCGCTAAAGTCAGGTCATGCATACCAGGGAACGGCGCCAGAGGGGCTTGGAACTTGCCTTGGGTGTCAGGGTCGCCCTTCTGGAAAGCGATGCTGCAGAGCTGGGGCCTCCGTCCTGCCCCCCATCCCTGCTCTCTGACGGCTCTGTGTCTCTGCAGGTGGAAGGACAGTCCAGAGCCCTGGTCATCGCTCAGGAGCTGCTGTCCTCGGAGAAAACGTGAGTCCCCAAGCCGCCGCCTGTGGCCTTGAGCTCATGAAAAGAGCGTGGCCCTCCCAGCCTGTGCGGGACGGGGATTAATCCAGACCCCACCTCTTTCCCCGCAGATACGTGGAGACACTCCAGCGCTTACACGTGGTGAGTTCATCGTTCCAATTGCCCACGGCTAATGCCCTTGTACGGGGCGGGGATGTAAGAGCAGAAAGCCGGGGGGAGGCGGGGAGGCTTCCGGGATCAGAGGCTTGGCCGTGGGTGAGCCTTCACCCGCGTTTTTCTGGGAGGCGTGTCTCCCCTCGGTGTGCTCGGGACCGAGCAGCTTGCTTTCTGCAGGTGACTCCCTGCTCTGGGGGGTGGTGGGTGCAGGGGGCACGGGCAGAGCTGCTGAACTCGTGGGACGTGTCCTCAACTCTCGGCCTTTTTTTTTGGGGGGGGGGAGATTTTTGCTATAGGGCTTGTGTGCTCACCAGAGACACAGAGAGACAGAAAGCGAAAAAACACCGCATGGCCACACCGCACTCCTTTCTCCTCCGTTCTCTCAGGATTTGGGGCATGCACGCACATGTGACCAGCGTTAGTTTTAAACTACCAGGTCTGGGACTCGAACTGCAGTCAACTACATAGGAGTCCAGCGATGTAACCATTATGCCAACTGCTGGACCCCTCAGCCATCTTGTTGAAGAAGGCTGGAGGAGGGCAGCCGGGGTGACTCCTGGCATTGCTGTGTGTGTGTGTGTGTGTGTGTGTGTGTGAGAGCACGCACACGTATGTACACACGTATGTCTTATATTTAGCTGCGCATACAGAAGGTATTTGCACGTGACAGTGGCTGAGGGTGCCTAGAGGCTTTCTGGGCTGCCCCGCAGAGGTGCGAGGTGCCTGAGCTGCTGGGTCAGAACTGCTGGAAGGTCAGAGGAAAGGAGGCCGGGCTTGGGGACAGCTGAAGCCGCGCCTGCCACCCTCCCAGCCAGACTCCCTAGGAAGGCCTCTTCGGTCTAGTTCATCTCCCCTTTTTTTTTTAAAAAAGAATTATTTTTGGGACCAGCAGTTAGCGTAATGGCTATGTCGCTGGACTCCCATGTAGCCAACCGCGGTTCACGTCCCGGACCCGGTGGCTTAAACTCACACCAGGAGCGTGTGCGTGCGTGCCCAAGATC